GCCCAGGCTGATTTCAAACTCCTGGGCTCAAGGAATCCTCCTGCCTCAGCCTCCCCAAGTGCTAGGATTACAGGCATGAGCCACTGAGCTGGCCCATTGTTATTTTGTTTGGTATTTCATATTATGTGGATATTCTATAGTTGATTTAATGAGTCCTGTATTGAATGACACTTAAGTTCTCAATTGCTATTGTAAATAATGTAATGAATAACGCAAAGATCACTTTGTATACATGTAGGTGCTTTTGTAGGTTAACTTCCTACAAGTGGGAGTACTGGGTTACAGCGTAAATGCCTTTGTAATTTTGATAAATATTGTTGAATTGTCCTCCAAAGGATTTGTTTCAGTTTTGCATTCCCACCAGTAGTGAAATGGCTGTTTCCCCACAGCCTCGCCACTAGAGGAAGTTGTCAAACTTTTGGATTTTTGCCAGTCTGGTAAGTGAGACATAGTAACTCAGTGTAGTTTTGATATTGTGAAATATATATTTGGTCTTCATCCTGAATGGAATCTCTGGAGTGATAAGAGTATCTTTTGTATGCTAATGATGACTGTTGGCCCCTAGATAGCTTCAGGATGGGAGCTGGTCACAGGAAAGACCAAGGCATAATTAGAAAGTCTCACCCCTCAACCTCTGGGGAGGCGTGAGGGGCTCAAGGTTGAGCTGATCACTAATAGCCAATGATTTAATCAGTCATGCCTATATAGTCAAGCTTCCATAAAAACCCAAAAGGATAGACTTTGTAGAACTTCTGGATCACTGAACACGTGGAGGCTCCTGGAGGGTGGTATGTCCAGAGAGGGCATGGAAGCTCTGTGTTGCTTCTCCCATACCTCTTCCTATGCACCTCTTCCATCTGGCTGTTCATCTGTGTCCTATGTACCGTCCTTTAAAATAAGCCAGTAAATGTAAGTAAAGTGTTACCCCGAGTTCTGTGAACTACTCTAGTGAATTAATTGAATCTAAGGTGGGGGTTATGGGAGCCCCAATTTACAGCTAGTCAGTCAGAAGTATATGTGAGAACCTATATTGACAGCTGGCATCTGCAGTGGGGGGCAGTCTTGTGGGACTGAGCCCCCAACCTGCTCTGTCTCCAGGTAGATAGTGTCAGAATTAAATTGAATTAGAGGACACCCAGTTGGTGTCCACTACAGAATTGATTGCTTGTTGTCTGGGGAGAAATCTCCACAAATTTGGTCACTGAAGTCTTCTGTGTTAATTGTTGAGTGAAGAGAATAGAAAAAATAGTTTTTTTTCCAGTCAGCTGTAGAATTGCTTGGTGTTTGGAGAAAACTCCACATACACGAAGTGTCAGAAGGGTTGTGCTGAGTGGTGTGTGAGTATAAAGGGTAGGAGAAACAATTTAGTTTTTTCTCCTATATCCTCAGAAGTTTTGCTTTGTGTTTCTCTTGTTATGAGTGAGATGGAAAATCTCTTTATATTTTTAAAGGCCAATTTTTTTTTTTTTTGAGACAGTCTCACTGTGTTGCCCGGGCTAGAGTGCCGTGGCGTCATCCTAGCTCACAGCAACCTCAAACTCCTGGGCTTGTTGATCAGTGAAACCAATTTGCTGGTGAGTACATGTGGTGCTTATTTTTCCATTCTTGGGATACTTGACTTAGTAGAATGTGTTCCAGCTCTATCCAGAAAAATACAAGAGGTGCTATGTCACCATTGTTTCTTAAAGCTGAATAGTACTCCATGGTATGCATATACCACATTTTATTAATCCACTCATGTATTGATGGGCACTTGGATTGTTTCCACATCTTTGCAGTTGTGAATTGTGCTGCTATGAACATTCGGGTGCAAGTGTGTTTTTTATAGAATGACCTTTGTTCTTTTGGGTAGATGCCCAGTAGTGGGATTGCTGGATCAAATGGTAGATCTACTTGTATCCCTTTAAGATATCTCCATATTGCTTTCCACAGAGGTTGCACTAGTTTGCAGTCCCATGCTATTTATTTCTTCATGAATAATTCTCCTTTAGTTAATGGAGATGAGATCCTCAAATATTTATTCTGATTGTAGAGAGAAAACATAGAGTAAACAATGGAGAAATTATGTATATTAGTTTTCTGTCACCTGTGGAAAGAGAACAACTGTTTATCGTTTTCTTTTAATGCAAGCTTTACAGATTTAAAGTTCCTTCTTAGTCTAATTTTTTTTTCCAGGTTAAATAATCCTGTTCCCTTGATGTAGTCAGTGTTTTTAGAGAATTCTGTGCCAAAAAGAAAAGAGATTAGTTTAAGTACACCAGTGGGGTGGGTGACACATATACCCTGAATGGCAAGCGGGTAGTGATGATTGCATATATGAAGTATGTTTGGAGTGAGATGGATGAAGTGTCAAACCGGGATGCAAAATGAGACATTGGCAAGGGGGTCTCTATCCAGTTAGTTGACAGAAATGAAGGGAGCAGGTCATATAAGGACTTGAGGACATTCAGATTTGCTATGTCAGCAATGTAATCTTGTGCAGTGGTGGTTTATTATATAAGCTTTGAATTGAGTCTCTTTAAAATTTTTTTAAGTTCCTTTTTTTTTTTTTTAAGAGGTGAGGTCTTGCTATGTTGCCCAGGCTGGACTCGAACTCCTGGGCTCAAGTGATCCTTCTACCTCAGCCTCCTAAGTAGCTGGAGTGACAGGTGTGCACCACTATGCCAGGCTTGAACTGAGTCTGCTTTTATGTCAAGAATGTTTTTAGTGATAAATAGTTTCAACAGTGTATTTTATTTATTTAAATTCATTTTTATTTTTTAGCTCAAAAATCAAAATGCTCTAAAAAGATGTACATTGAGAAATCTCACTCCCAATCTTATCCCTATTCACCCTGGTTCCTTCCCA